TAATAACCTAAGGAAATGCCCAAGTTTTTCCCCGGTACAAGAAGCACAGGGACCATCTCAAGGGGATGAAAACTTCGATTTCACTCGGTTTCAATTACACACCTACGGCTCCGCCGTCGTTTCGCGTCGCGGCTCTCCCACCCCTCCCGTGAAAAGGTGTATAGAGAGGAAGGGTCGCGAGTAGTAATACACACAGGAGACGGCAGGACTCGTCTCTCTGGTTCGATCTTCGAAACAGAGTGCTTACAGTAGTGTGTACAGAGAGAGACGAGGCGGTCGCGTCTTCGGTCGAGAAGTTTAGCTGTAATTGAATTTCTCGGGCCAGTGCCTACCACCGCGGGGGGATTCACCGACTGTTGGTTGGCTGGATAGAGCTGGTCTGTTGTATTCTTGCTAGCTTGGAAGATCCTGAGCTTCGCCAGGAGAGGGTTGATGCACTCTCACTCTCTTCTTCGTGTCGGTCTTCTTGAGGAGGGTCTCGACGATGATACGGTATTGTACATCTTCTAAACGAGATTCTGACGTTGTATCGTAGGATGTACGTATGTAGGTGTAGCCCAGTGATCTGTTGCACGAGCTTTTGCACTTGGACATCGTTAGTTTTTACTCAATCGTTACAAAGATGACATCTGATGCTCTTCGCTAATTTCCATTCTTGTATATAACTTTGGTACAGGTGGGTTGAAAAAATTCTGTCCGCACATGGTATTAGGGGAGAGTTGCCTATATCGTACCTAACCGATTTACCGTTAACGAATAGACGATAAGAATTTCGTGTTAGTTGCAAATTTAATTCGCGATCAATATATCGCAGCTGATTACAATCTAACGATGCAGTCTCCGTTCTGAATCTTCGGACTTTCGTAAAAGTAACATTATCGTAGAAAGAAGGAGAAGAAATTAAGTTACAATATTGCAAATCTCTTTGAAATTTCATTCTTCTCTCCGTTCGCATTGCTCCAATTGAAAAATTCCCATTCTACATCCAAGATTGCTCAATTTGCGTCAATTAAAAACACTTCACTCCACCCCCTGGTACAAATTGATCCTGAAACCTCCGCCGAAGAAAAATTATCCTCCCCTAAGACGTCGCGAAGAACGTTTAACCAGAGATACCATATTATCGACGTTCCTCTATACACATCGAGGGTAATTTGACTACAGCACGCACGTCGATTTTCCGTATCAAAGGATACACACACACACACACGCACACGTTTATATACTCATACACGTAGACATTGCACGGGGAGTGATTACTTGGAAAAGGAGGACGCTGAGATTTGGTCTTTCCAGCAGGATTCCCCGAAGTAGGGAGGGATACGCTTTGTAGTGGTATATACACACGCAAGAGGAAGAACGTCCTTTTGTGTGTACGTGTGCGATGGTACACCCTTTATCCCGAAGGATCACTTGGTCTCTCGTTCGTCTGCCCCGGGGGACCATTATCCCGGCAGTTTCTCACAGTAGAAGCTTCTTCGAGTGTCCAAGAAACTTTGTGAAAGACCAGTTCGCTTCCGTTCTTCCTCTTTCGTGGCTGCGGAGGACACCAGGAAATTATTTCACTCGACCGTGCACGCTTCACTCACCCGATCCCTCTTGCTTCTACCGCTGCTTCTTCTTCTTCTGCTGCTGGTAAGCGCAACCAGCGCTTCACGATATCACGTCGAACAGGCTTTTCTGTCGCTAGGACCAACTTTTCAACCGTCGAGTCTTATAACCGTTTCAGACATTTCCGTTCGTTTGATGAAAAGCGACGGGAGCATCTGTTGCAAAGACAATATGTTCTCGATGAGATCGTTCCCGGGGAGATACAATCTAAGGGAGGGGGTTGGGTCTGGGTTAGGGGGATCAGGTTTGATAAGTCTGCGTTGGAGGACTGTGGAGAAAAGTTGGGACGGGTTGTTTTGCATATCTGGTAAGATGATCTAACTTCTGGTGGATGTAGAGGGAAAAGGAGGTAATCTACTAATTGCAAGACAGAGGAGAAACAAGAAAATAACGAATGTACCGTAGATACACCGCTGTTCATAAGTATTAGGTCACCCATTATATGCTCGTGCAAAAAGTATCGCACGACTTGGAATTTTAACACATTGCGTACGGCACTCTGCTCGCTCAACGCGCTTCCAGAGCCCGCACATTTTTGAACGCTCGAAAAAAACTTTGTACAATGCATATATGCACTTTTTTATTTTTCATTTATAAAGTATTCTTAAATATTACTACATATTTCTTGTACATCTATTTAGTATGTAGGCTTTTTTACATTTTAACTATTATTTATCATATAAATAAAATTAAATCGATTAATTATTATTTATTTTACAAACATGAATAAAGCTTCGGAGTATGATATCTGGTGAAGCATTCTCCTTTGGGCAATGGTATTTGGCATAATTTGTCCTTTTTCCATTGGACGAACAGACTTTACTTTTTTTTGCTTTTTATTTCGCTTATCATTTGTCATAAGAATACGCAAGGCTTCGTTGCCTTGGTAACGTAATAAAAAAATCTATTTTTAATTTCTTGAGTCGTCGATGCGCGCGTACGAGAAAATATTAAAACGAGATATGCCGCAACCCGGCCACAAAGTTTGGTTTGCTATGTACGAGATATCTCGTGACCCGTACGCAAAATGTTAAAAAGATGAGGAAAAATAGAAGCATATTCGGGAAACAAAGAATACTAAATAAAAGGTTACTCAATTCCGGAGCCTAAAAATTGCTACATACACTACCGGCCAGAAGTTTCGAATCACCTCCCAATTTTCATCGGTACCGAATCTGCTACTAATTTTTCATAGACTTGATATTGATATTGCGGAGATAAATAGCAATTTATCTCACATCGATTGATTTGAACGACACAAAATTCGCTAAAA